CCAAGAAGCAGCTGTCGAACGAAGGGGGAGGGTTATGCATCTTCGGTCTTTGAAGGGGTTAAACAAGATAAAGGTGGGGAGTGTAGAACTGACCTGAACGTTATTGCGAGCAGAGAATGTGCATCCTTTATTCTTGCTCATCTCGACATCCAAATCAGTGGCGGTTTGTTTGAGGTAGTAATGAATCAACCATTTATATGTATCCATTGTATCTACAAGTGGTAGTATACAAACGTTTATCTCTGATGGGTACTGTGGCGCGTGCTATCAGAAGACTAATGGCGTTCTAGAAAACTCACCTTTGACTATGTCGTCAGTGAAAGCACTGAACTGTTTTGGTGTCTCATAAAGGAAGTCAAATGTGCCCATTGGTGTCGGTGTTTTTGGAGATCGCATCTAAATAGAATAGAACTTCATCAAAGGAAATACGTTTGTCGTGGGATATTTCCACTAAGATTACTGTCATTTTGTCTCGTGCTTGACAAAAACAGTCACATCCGTCTCGAAACAGCAGCATTATATCGAAAGCGCAGCCTCCGCCACGTCGAAGTACGCAGTCACGCCCCTTCTCCATCTCCGAGACATAGAGTGTAGCTAAGCGATTTCCCCCTGAGTAATTTCTCGAACGCACTGATCTGGGCCCGGATTAGCAAAAAGTGATAGGAGCCATGCTCATTGCGAAGTCAGTGATGGAGCATCAAGATAGCTAAAAAAAGCATCCTACGGCACATTTTTGACGCTACCGTAGCTGAGGGGAGCCACTACATGTCGTGCTTGATCCTTGTGTCAATAGTGCGGCATGAACAGTGAATCAATTTGTATACGTAGAGGAATCAAAGCTAACCTTGGAAAGCAGAATATTGCTGGTCTGCTGCAAAATCATGTAGTTCTCTCCTTCAAAAGTTTGAGACGGATCGAAACTGTCGCGCAGTTCATTCAGTCTTGAGCTGTATAGGAAACTGAAAGAGCTAACGTCCACCAGAGGACATAACTGACTAAGACAACAGAAAACAGTTCGTTTTGACGACAGTCATAAACCTAAAAGCAGTTATCCACGATGGTCGAATGGGCGGAGACAGAGAACCAATGGCCGCCTTCTATAGGGAGGTACGAAGAAGGGAAGCACCAATGAGTAGGGCACAGAGGTTGGCTGCTTCCGCCCGAACGATCAGCGTAGGATCTGCCCTTCATGCAAGAACTGAGCACATCCTATGGCGATTAGAGCTGTAATAGATCGCCTGGATTAGATAAACTAGGAAACTGGTCGTCCACGTGCCATCGTATGTGAGAACATCCAAATCCAGCCTATATGGTGCACGGTTCAGGTCCATCCCAGATTCCGTTCGTATAGAAGTAGAACCCCTCCAGAAGCGTACTTGATAGGTCTGGACATGCACCTATTTTTCATGCACTTCACGGTTTTGGGACAAAATATTTAGCACCAAAAAGGTATGCAATTGACTCACCCATGACCTCCACAAGCTCGTCGTGCCTCACCAAGTGCTTCGACTCCGAACCAAGTCGACACAGGTTTCGCTACTGCTGAGAGTGCATGAATCTCTCTGGAGAATTCCGCCTGCAATGAATAAGGTTTTATGGGTCCTTGAGACCCTACGGTCTTATGTATTTTAGACAAACAAATGTCAATTGTTCTGATTCAAAAGAACAGTCCACGCCATGGGAACTCAGACAGCCAATAGTGGCGTGTTCCTCATTGGTAAGCCTCTCCTTTCAAAGTGGAGGGATACGACTGCGAAATCCTTTCGGAGCAGAAGAAATAGGACTTCGGAATGAGGCGCTAATTATGTACACTGATCTCGGAAGTACGAGATCATGAGAACCAATCACGAGGAAATTCAACGCGGTATGGTATCCTTCTTTTCTGCAAAGGTTATAGCCCTCATAGGTAGCATCGGTGGTGCCAAACCTTCGGAGGAGGTTAAGCTTGTGGCGAAGTCAAAGAACGTTGCTCGTGCCTCTCGCA